TATATAAAAAAATAAAATAACACTTCTCTCAGGGACGCCAAAGCCTTTATGATAGTTTTAAATTATCATAAGAAGTTAATTTAAAAAAAAGTTGTAAATGACTGCTCCAGAAGCAGATCCAATACACAGCCAAACACTGTTCCTTGCCACGACTCCATACTTTTCATGAACTCCAGAGCTCTCGGTCATCTCATGGCTCTTCAGTATTACAAGAATAACTGATGGTATCTAATTAACAGCCAAATCAAATCCAGTATCAGCACAGACTTTCTGTGAAAACAGTTTTTAATTCTGTATCAAAGTGTTTTAAGGGCTTCCTTCAGGATCATTATGTATACAGCCCTGAAAGCCCATTCGGCAAGGTACTTGTGCACACACTTCTCTTCACCCCAACTGTGCAGTACATTTAAGGACATGCTTTAAAGTGAATACATTGGTTGAGACTTAAAAGACTTTGTTGGGCTGAAATGATCTGATGAATAAAGGGTCCTGGGTTCAGTGAGTACAGAACATGCTTCATTTCCTTGGCTATCATTTTGGAACTTTTACAAGCAATAGAAGTTGTAAAAGAACATGTAAAATGTGTTTTCAAGGAATTCATATTGAAAATGTCAGATACTTCCAGAAAAAAAGGCTTTTTGATGGGTGTATGGAAGACTTTATCTTCTGATTTTGTTGTGCAGTTTTTCATGGTCCATTTCTGCCACATGGTGTGACAAATGTCAACTGCATATTGTTCAGCAAAGTAGAATTTTTTAATCACATGCTAATTCACTGACAGATGGACAGGATTTTGCTCCCTGTGCTATTTCTGTTGTACACTTCAAACGCTTAGAAATCTCGGAGAGGCTTATGGGGATATGAATGCTCATGTTCCCGCTCTGAAATGGAGTTGAGGGCACATAAAGGTCCTTCTGATTCATTGGGACTGTCCAGAAATTCAAGTGTATGTGTGTGCATGAGCACGGATATGTGATGTCGGGTTGGGCTGTCCCTGAGTATTTGTTCCCAACTGTGACTCGATGGTTTAACCATGGACTGTGCTACTGCAGATGGGAACAATTCTCGTTATGTCCAGCCTGGCTGGAAGTTGCCTTGAGCTAATAATGAAAGCTGCATTTCCAGAGAAGGGATCAGCTGGTGGTTTTGATATCTGGGATTCTGAAAAGTCCAGTGATTGAACCAATTAGACTAATTTGGGATAATATATGTTTGAGTCACCTAAAAAGCAGTCTCTTTCATAGTGTAAGACAAATCATCTATGAATTATAGCCAGACTCTGTTTGCAGCTACCCACATGCGTAATCAAAGACCCTTTCTTTCCAGCTGGGTTTTTTTCAGGTAGCAGTGGTCAGAACCTGCCTCTGTGCCTTTATATTACTTCCAAAGCGTCAAATGAGTGTTAGAAATATCTAGAAAAATTTCCTTTCTATGACTAGAAAATAAATGACTAGTCCTTCTGGTGGCCCTTGGGAACACAAGGCACATCACGCTACTATTTTCAGTAAGGGCTTTCCTGGTACTGTTTGATGATAACATTTTCTGCTAATTTCCCCAAGTTTAGCAGTACTTTGATATTAAAATAGGATTTAAACTTGTTAAGAGTTTCATAAATCTCCTTTTCTAGAGCAAACATGGATTAATGTTACAGCAGTCAAGCAATAACCATTCTTATTAGGGCCAGCTTCAGATGATAAATGAATGTGGCTCCATCCACTCAGTGGAGTTACACCATTTTATATCAGTGGATGATCCGACACAGAAATATTACAGTGATGTTAAATAGACTCCTCTCAATATATTGTATTATTCCAGACAAAAAAACAGAGACTTCCAATGTGTGAATTTGTATTCTGTTGTAAAATCCTTCACTGCAAAAAAGGGAACAAGAAGATTGGTAAAGATGGAGCTTGTCAGCCTTCAAAAATTTATTGGCTTTGGTGAGACAGTAATTGAAATGCCTGTTGTAGCTGCAGTGGAATAGTCTTTCTGAACATCCGTCCCACCCAGTGCGCAGGCCAAGTAATTGGGCTTAGTGAAGGAAATTCTGTGGGTGAGAGGTAGAAGTCATCCATCTCCTAACCCACAGGCACGTCAGGGGAGCTTCAGCATGGGCCCTCTGCAGGCATTTTACCAGCCTGTTCCTTAGAACCATGCACTCCTCCTGCCTTAAACTTTGCAACTTGCATTCAATCCCATTAACTTTACCCAAACACAAAGGCCGTGCTGTATTCGGCTTGTCGCAGGAGTGAGGGCTGTCTTCAAGACTTGTTGCTTTCCAAGTCATATAAGGTATCTAATGGCTGGGATTCATCCACGTGGGTTGGTGTGGTCTGCAAGGGTAATGAGGCCCCCTTCCTTGTAACCCATTCACTTCTGTTTCCTCACAGAGGGGCACTTACACTTTCAATAGGCGTTCAAATTTAGTATGCCCAAATTGCCCTGTGAGGGCAATAATATTCAAATTACTTCTTTTTCTCTGCCTCAGACTAAAAAAAAAGTAGCAAAAATTACTTTTAAAACAGAGGATAAAATCACGGCAAGGTAATGAGTATGCCTGTAAGTTTTCAGGCAGAAACTATTTTCTCTTGGCAAGGTATTTTAAGCCTGGAAAAGGATCCAAGTACCATAAATGGAGATGCTTGACACATCCTCAGCAACAGAATAATTGCTGGGCCAATCTAGAATTAATTGTGTGGTGTTTGAATTGAATGATCATTAATCCAACAATATTTTGTAAGCTGTGAATAAATTGCCAGAAGAAATAATTTCATTCCAATACGCTGCAGCACTTCAACTTTGATTAACATTTTAATTAGTAAGAGCTGACTGAATGGGAAGATGTTTAACTTGTGGCACACATTTGCAATTTTCCTTTTTTTAGAGGAAGTAATTGTCTTGAATTGAAGAAAGAAACGGAAATTAAAATTCAGACACTAACATCAGATCACAAATCTAAGGTAAGCAAACAGCCAATTTTAACACCTGCAACATCTGAAAGAGAGATTTTGAGACCCAAGTGGTAGTTACTTTTCTTGGAAGCATATGAATGATTTTCAACAATAATAACACATTGAAAAGAATGGGAGTAATCGAGTGTCTAAAAGTGTTTCTTAAATTTTAAAAAGCAATGTCAATTTCCTGCCCATTTATAAAATTATTGAAGAAAGTGCCATATTCATGCCACATGAAACTAAACTGGTCATTTGTGTCAGTTCTAGCTAAACAAAGAGACAAATATATTCTGTATGAAATTTGGATGCTAAATACTTTCTCAAAATACATACATAAAGAAGTTTCTTTTTCCCTCACTGTCACCACAGACAACACTTGCTAGTCTGCCTCTTGGGGAAGGAGGAGTCCAAGTTGCTCTTGAACCAAGTGCCTTCTTATTTCTAGTATTTTTTTTTTCTCCATTGCTTAGTTGCATTGTTTTCTCCAAGGTGCTGGAGAATAAAAGTGCTCTGAGACTCAACCTCAGTTCATTTGAAAAAGTTATTCTCCAGCTGTGATTCATGGCTCACATTGAGTTGCTTAGAGCTGCTCCCTCTATTCTTCTATACCACTACAATGCTCACCGACTTTGTATTTCCTTTGAAAGTTTTATCTACCACCTGTTGACATGCTTTCAAGTTTCTGAAAGATATCCAAACTAGAGGGTGGCAGGTACACTAGAGGACACATCCATGTACAAAATGGTCTGGAGGAAGAAGAGTACAGGAGACTGACCACAGTACAGGAGAGTTAGTGTAAAAGCTGAAACCTGTGAAAAGAATCAGACAAGTATAGAAAATACAAACAAAAGCAGCCACGTCTTTGAGACTAGAATAAGGTCATTTCCATCTTTTCTTCTCCTACGTTTATTCTTTGGTATTATTACTTAATGCAGAGAAGATCCTGTTTTTCTAAACAAGGTTTCTTTCTTGTTGCTGCCTGCTCAGCCAAAAACGTAGGAAAATCCCCAAGAATAAAACCTGGTGTACTGTCTTATCTCCGTATCTCCTTCTCCTGTGAAAAGTCCAGAACCGTTTCCTTAAATAAAAGCAAATTTGTTGATAACTTAACAAAAAGATAATTCATTCATTCCTTAGTGAAGTAAACTCTCTGAGGAGCACTAGCTCCCTATCATCCAGACATAAGCTCCAAAACTGATTTGAAGTTACATTGTGTAGAAAATTCTTTGCTGTGATCTCTGCTTCTTACCTGTGTCATTCACAGTCTGGAGTTAAAGAGGTGTGATTTGTACACAAGGGACACCCAAGTGTTCATTAATCTTCCAAATCCAGTAAATGTGACTCATGTTTTCCCTTTCCACAAATGTATGCAGTTTCTGAGCTCTGTTCCTTTTGAAATCCTGCTTTCAAACCGGTTCCCTTCAATTTAATCCATACCTAGAAAATAGACTGATTTTTGTCCACTCCCATGTCAGGTTTTAGGATGACATTTTCAAAAGAGACTTAAATATAAGCTCCTTTGAAATGCCAACCCTCTGTGTGTTGGATAATTCCTGAAGAACTCCTCTGCAAGTCATCTACCTCTGTGGTTTTCTCTAGGTCAGTGATTTTCAGTATCTTGCTCACTGTGATTCCATCAAAATTGTGCAGATTATGTACCGATTTTAGTATTGTCGCAGACTTCTTTTGTTTCAATTGCCATTTGTGGGCCCTTGAACTATTCCTGGAGATCATTCAAAGGTTTGCAAGCAACAGGTTGGAATACAGTGCTCAAGACCATAGGGAAATTAACTTTTCTCCTAGATGAAGGTAGGTGCAATTAAATTAGATTAAATTCTGAGATGCTGAATGCATTACACTGATACAGTGGAAGTTTGATTAATTAACAGTTGTTCAGCATTTGGCCCACTAATTTTGATATCAGATTGTACCACAATTCAGCTTTAATTACAGCTCATGTCCTGCAGTGCAGCTCTGTGTCACAATGTGCATGTGTACTTTCAGCACCAAAGAGACCTTTTCATCCACAAAAGTCTTCTTGTCATGAGGAAACATCCAGTCCAAGTTTGCCATAAAATATTTAAATTAGAGCTGAATGCCCCAATGTGTACTTCACATACAGTTAACCTAGCAGACACAAATTACTCCCCTGCATTAGAAAAGTAGGTCCCACTGTCAAGCAGGCAGAGGATGAAAAGAAAAAAGGGAAAGATTACTTCAAAGATTGTTCCTGCTTGAACTTAGTGACTAGACAAACAACTTGCATATATGCTGTGCAAAAGAAAGTCCCTTATCAAGATCTTAATTAGTCTCTTAGGCCCAGCGTAGGAACAGATGAAAGGACAGGACTGCAAACACAGCCTATAGAACAGCAAAGAGAGAATTTAGCTAATGGTTATTCTTCTTATCCTTTTGGATAAGCAACACTACCTTAGTAGTGGAAAGTAGGACAAGAGCACAGCCCAGTACAAATGAAATAGTAATTTGAACTATGATGTTAATAAATTGGAGAAAAGCAGGGATGTACACTGAATTTACTACATCTGAACTTCGAAGTGTATCACAGATTTGCAGCAAAATTGGATTTCAGATGATTTAATGGATTTGAGTTCTAAGGTCATCTGAATCTGAGTCAAATGGAGTATTTCAAGTCTTGTAACTGGTGTTTGGCAAATTCCTTACATCCTTCTCATCAGGTTATATCTTGCTCTACCTGAAATGAGACTTCTAGCTTGTGGGATATTTAAGAAAAAAAAATCTTACCTTTCTCTCCCACCCCCAGAGGAAAACTTGTTTTACAAGGAGCTGTACCTTCTTCTTAGACCGCATGCTGATTTTGAAATTAGTAGCACATCACTAGCACATCTTACCCATGAACACAGGCAGGTTTTTTTATGATTCTTAGTTCCTATCTTCTCAGATTAAATACTTAAAGTACTGCTATGTTTAGGTCTCCTTGCAGCTTTCTTCTTTGGGAGTTGGAATCGATGATCCTTATGGGTCCCTTCCAACTCGAGATATTCTTTGGTATCAATGTATCTGAGATACAGGATTCCTGCCTTCATGTTCCTCTGTAGTGTATAACATCAACCATTTAAAAACAAAGAACACATTATTCATTCGCAGGGGGCCCTTGAGTCTTTGTTTCTCTGCATTTGTTTGGGCTTTATAAACGCTCTTTGCAGTTAAGTCACAAAATACTTGCTTTCACCATGGCTTCCACTATTCATACACTTATTTGTTTCACTGTTTTATTAAGTCACGATTCTTGTTTTATGCAAAGATTGTTTTGCATTTCCTCTAAAGCCTAAGGAGGCTTTAAAGAAAAGCAGACTCTTTTGTTTACTGGAATGCCTGCCTGTCCTTTTAGGGCAATGGAAAACGCTCTTACTGTGACTAGGAATCAGATCTCCTATGGTAATATCCCCTGCACTTTCTAATACCTCAGATTAGCCTGAAACCCAGTCCTAAGTGGCAGACTGTATGGAAGAGTCGCACAGCAGCAAGTGGTGCAGGAGAATGCTTGGCCAGCTCTGTCTCGGTTCCTGCTACAATGTTATTGATGTTTGAAAGGGAGCAGAGCCCAGTCAGAGCATTCTCTACAGGAAGGCAATTTGAATCACAAATCTGTGTAAGGAACCGTGTGTTGGCTCCTGTGCCAAGATGTGTGGCACACAGGTGTGATTTGCTGCTGGCTCTGCCTGCTTCCTGGGCTCCATAATAGCACTTGTCTTTTTAAAATACTAATACTTCCTAACGTTGTGACTATAGAAGTTTTCTGAGTACGTGGTCCATCTTCTGCTGTGGTCCAGTTACACCCAGTTACTCAGGACTTTGGATCTACCTGTACCTTTTTTCTCCAAATCATTGATGGAGCTGACTCCATCTGGAAACTCTGCATTGACCATAAATAAATAAGGAATGGGTTTTTCCAATAACTTCAGCCATGACTTACTTTTAGTTCCCCTGAAGTCAGCTCTGGGTCTCCTTGGGGGTTGATAAGCCAAGTGAGGTCACTACTGAGAGGAGATTCATGCAACCTAACTGAAGTGTCTAGTTGCTTGAGGCCCTGTAGATATGAGAAGGGCATCTCCAAGGCAATGCCTAGGTGTGATAAATCCTGCTTTGAAACTGCTCACCTTTTTTTGCATCAGCAATACAAGGAGCTTGGACTAAACTTGGTCCTAACTTAGGTGCCTTAGGTGGGTGCTGGAGGTAAGCTGGAGTGTCTGCCCCTCAACCTTTAAAAAACTCCATCTGAAAAGTTAGTGTCTTTTCCTTACCAACATCCAGGCATTTATTTTGACCCATTTTAAAACTGAATCCCCATGTTTTTCTAGCTCTGAAGGCAGTACTGCCTTATGAACGTCTTTTTAAAGATACTACTCCCGCTAACTGCTCCACATCCTTCAGCATATTTATCACTTCATAGTTGATAGGCTCTGGCTTAGTAGTACACTTACCCACATGCACAAAAATAAGCACAGCTCATTTTGCTGGAGCTACGCTCATGCTTAAACACCCTGATTAAATACAGGGCCTATATTAGTTGTACCAATCTCCTGCCTCAAAATGCATTTTTTTTTTCTTCCCCCCTGACAGCTGCAGAAAACTCTAGTGTCGTGGTTTAGCCCCAGCCAGCACCAAGCACCACGCAGCCGCTCGCTCACTCCCCCTGCCCCGATGGGATGGGGGAGAGAATCGGAGGAGTAAGAGTGAGAAACACTCCTGGGTTGAGACGAGAACAGTTTAATAATTGAAATAAAGTAAAATAGTAATGATAATAGTAACAATAAAATAATAATAATAATATACAAAGCAAGTGATGCACAATGCAATTGCTCACCACCCGCCGACCGATACCCAGACAGTTTCCCGAGCAGCGATTGCTGCTCCCTGGCCAACCCCCCCCCAGTTTCTATACTGAGCATGACGTTACATGGTATGGAATAGCCCTTGGGGCAGTTTGGATCAACTCTTCTGGCTGAGCCCCCTCCCAGTTTCTTGTGCACCTGGCAGAGCAGGGGGAGCTGAAAAGTCCTTGACTAGCACAAGCAGTACTTAGCAACAACTAAAACATCAGTGTGTTATCAACAGCCTTCTCCTGCTAAATCCAAACCACAGCACTATGCCAGCTACTAGGAAGAAAATTAACTCTATCCCAGCCGAAACCAGGACATCTAGGGAGCTCGCTCTCAGCTGCTTCTGTCTCCCATCCTATCTGGTTTGATACAGGACCACTATTTAACTATAGTTAAATGCAAGTCTGGCTTTCAGGTAGTGCTAGTCACCCTGATCTGTTTCAAAATTACTTGCCTTTTTTTTATATTAGGAGTCTAGCCTTATTACACAACATGAGCTTTGTGTAGGAGGGCCTTCAGAGGAGCCTCTCCAGAGCAGAATGGAGGCTGGGGCTGTTAAGGTCCCCTCTAACCATCATCCGTGTGTGCAGGAGAGTCTGTTCTCCATTATGCAGAGCCCACATGTGGGCCCACACCTAAAATACTGGCATCGGTCTCTCGCTTTGAGCAATATGGTGGCAATTTTTTATTTGAAGAATAAGGTTTAGCTTTCAAAGAAGATGACCCAGATGCTATTAGTTACCATAGTAGCAGTTGAAATGACTACCTGAAAATAGGTTTATTGTGAGGCATATTTAGTATACCACTTATGGAAAAGTAGGATAGCTTGTCAAAATACCCAAAGATAATTATTAAAGGATAATAAAATATATCTTTCTGTTAGCTTCTGTTCTAAATCATTGAGTGCAATATATTCTTATACTAACAACTCTGGTGATTTAGACTGCTTTGTGTTGTCTCTTGGGAACTTTCCAAAACTTTAATCTCATTATTCTTGTGAGTCTTGGGAGATAAGCAAGAGAAGAATACTTGTCAGATTCCCTGCTGACTTAATGAATATAAAACAAAGATACGTAGCTCATCTTCAGATTTAGGTTGTGTTAAATACAGGATTTCTCCATAAACTGACTGTGTTTGTAAAACTGTCTGCACAAAATCAAAGACTGTATTTAAGCCCTCAGACAAATCCCGCTCGCTAGTTTTTTTTCCATTGTTAATTTCAATACTTTTAATATGTATTTTTTTCTTAGCAACCAAAAATGTGAAACCGTTTTATTATGAACTCAGTGTTAGAGATGGTTTTAAAATAACAGTAGTAGAGTCAAGAGCATAAATGCAGCCAGTTTATTCGGGGCACTTTAGATAAGAGAGTCCTAATAGTAGGGGTTGTTTTACATCTGTTTTTGTAATACACTGTAGCGTCCTCAGTGGCTTTGTTACTCTGTGAAGCAACTTCATTTGTGTAACTTCATTTTTCACAATTTAGCTAGCCTAGTTGAGAACCTCTAGCAAAGCTGCTGTTAACTTCTCTACAGGTCAAAGAGATTGTGGCACAGCACACTAAGGAGTGGTCCGAGATGATCAATACGCACAGTGCCGAAGAGCAAGAAATCCGTGATTTACACTTGAACCAACAGTGTGAACTACTGAAGAAACTGCTGATTAATGCTCATGAACAGCAAACCCAGCAACTAAAATTTTCACATGACAGGTGAGCAGGACAGTGCTACCTGATAATAAGGGTTGGTTTATATCTGCTTTCTATACCGTTTTAGTTTCTTGTGTTGATAGCTCCAGTACTTCTGTCAAAGATACTGGGCTGTATGCATGGTTGAAGTAAAAGAAGTGATCATACAAGGTTTAGATAGGTGCAAGAATGGGCTGCTTAGCTGGTTTAGATTATCTGAACTTCATTAAAGGCAGCAGATGCGATGAAGCGGTGGTAGTTTGCATCAACTGTGGATGCTTAGACTTTACCCAGGAACTTCAGTTCAGAGGCTGGAAACTGAGAAGTACCACATATGGAAATATCCTTTGGAGTTTGCTAGCAGTTGCGGATGCATGTGTTTATAGTGTTGGTGATTATAAGAAAGTTCCATGAAAAGTAAGATCATAAAAACAGTGGGTAGCAGGAGAACGCTACATTAGGCTGACGTATTATCTTCATACAATATCCCGCCATAATCACTGGGAATACAGAAGATAATGCTTGACGCTACTGTCTTGTTGCTTTTGTAATTAACCATCGTGCCCATTTGAAATTAAATAAATTTAAATACACATCGTATCCACAGTGATAAAAATGGCACTAAGTAGAGGAATCTGGTTTTCATGCTATTATGCAAAGCAGCCTAAAAGCATATGAATGCAAAATGTGTGTGTACATACATATTCATACGTATATATACATTCATATGTAATTGTCTTCAGCATCTTTCACATAAAAAGCATGGGGAAAAAGGAATAAATAAATCTCATCTGAAGAAGGAATTGAAATGATTTTTTTTTTAAATTTCTGAGTGAAAAAACAGCTTATCTTTGCATCAGAGAGAACACATGCTGGGACCTGCAAGCTTTCCATCCAACAGAGAATTGTCCCAGCAAAAGGCTTTTAGTGAGCTCATCTTTATGTTAATCTCCATGTTAACCCATCTATTCAAGCTGTCCTGCAATACATACCCAGTCAAAAATGAAGTCCAAAAATTGTTAAATTATAATACAAATGCATCATTCAAAAGACACTAGCCAGAGGAGGGTGCAGTCCTTGGTACTGTATCTCTAAATCATACCTGGCTCCATCAGCCCAGAGAAATCACATCTCTTTTTTTTTTTTTTTTTTTTTTGAGTCCTGTTTTCTGTCCTATTTGAAATTCACTACAGTGCTTAGAAGAAAATTTACTAATACATAGCCTGTGAAAGGTTTGTTTTCTTTTCCATACATATTTCTTTATTCTCTTAACTTTGCTAAAGGCCATCATTGTGGGCAGCTATTATATCTACACTAGGGCAAAGTTTAATTTTTTTTAAAGCTTTTTTCTCATAGTTTTTGTCCTTGGGTTTAGAATCTCTGTATCTCTGTTGTTTAATCAGCCCTATATCATTTCTTGTAAACGGTTCTTATATTCTTCATAGTGGATCTTGCTCTCTCACTAGAAATTTTTTGTGTTCAGTCCATGTATTGTTCTATGTTCAGAGCTGCTAAGAACCAGACCTTAAAATCTACACCCTGATAAATACCACAACTTTTTCTTCTCAGCTGTCCTAGGAGTAACAACCTTCAAAATTCTTTCTGCTTTATTCATTGCAATTTAATGTATTTCTGCTTACATGGGAATTTGTGTTTAACCCCTAAATGTGCAGACAGGGGATTTTCCTGTTTAAAACAAATTTAAGACTCTGAATCTATGAATATTTCAGAAGAATTTGGAATGTGAAATACTGAAATGTGAATAATAATGCCCCAAAGAGACTTTATACTTAATCATTTGTAAACTTTTTTATGGAATATATTGTGTGTAGGAATACCTATGCATTTATCTGTACAGGTGTATGTAATAGTCAAAACAACTCAAGTAACCATAGGAAAAAAGGATCTATCTGAGAGCAGCATGGGAGGTGAACCATGCTCTCAGCATGCTGTTCTTGCCGCTTCCCTCTCTGTGAGCTGAGCTAATGAGTTAGCTATCACAACAGAGGACAGGGCTAGTAGGAAAGATCAGTAATCTAAAGCGATGTAGTTATCTGCTGTTATACTTTCCCTCCGTGTGCAGTACAAAAAGCAATTACAGTTTGTGCTTTGAGCTCATTTAAAAACAAAGCAGAAGAGAGCAGATACTGCTAAAAATCGGAAGCTTATTGAACTCCAGGGGTGCTGTGCCCCCTGCCACCCCAGACTCAGTTAGCTTGACTGACTTGGATGTAGTGAGCTTGCAGCATTTCAGGAATTAGGCACGTGAAGCTGTTACTTGCAAACATTATGTGCTCCAGATAAAATAACATGAGAGAGAGAAAAATTATGTGTGGGGTTGGTTTTTTTTTTTAATAGATTTCTAGTCATTCAAACAATACTGGTGACATAAAATAACATGTTAATGCACTGTAATGTCATCTAAATATATGTATAAATTTCAAGGATAGACTTATATACTTAAAGTTAAGTATCCTTTTAAAAGACATGTTTGTATAAATTTCAGAGTTGCAGTCAGTATGATACAGTAGGAATTCAGCAGTTAAATGTTGCACTTCATGTGCCACGTGTTTACAATCCTTTTTTTCTTTACCATCCTGCCATATCTACTTCTTCCAGTTAACTCTGGCTACAGGCATCACCACCGCTTGTGAGCAGGAGGGAGTTCGCTAACGGTGGCGTAGCGCTGCCAGCCAGGGCAGCACGGGCTGAACTGGAGGCTCCATGTGAAGGCCCACGCCAGGCGGTTGAGCAGTGAGCTGACACTAGAACCTTGGCCCCATCTTTGGGAAGCACTATTTTAGAAACAAGGAGTGGTCCTTACAAGTACTTCTTGGTGATTTTACAAGGAAGATAAGATTTTTCATTTCTTCTGTTAATAGTATTTTTCATTTCTTGCGAGTGGTGAAAACCCAACACACCCAGAAAGACCCAACAGCAGTGCAACTCGGAGCTAGATTACAGTTTGCAGAAGAGAGAGACAGTTGCGCGTAGATGTGTTGGCGCTTTCAGCCATATCCATGGCCAAAGCCTCATTTTTGAAATCATCAGTGATGCACAGTAGTCCTCTAATCCTCTTAACTTCTTTCACTCTAAAATTATATCTGATGCAAATAGGCTAAATCAATTTGAACACCTACACTTAACTTTTTTCATATCCTTGAGCACAGTAATAAAAGTAAATTATTTCAGTACTGCTCTTAAGATAGCATGCTTGAAAATTACTTCAAATTCAGTATAGAAAACGAAAGCTTTTATTTGGAGAAAGGACTGTTGGAATGAAATGCGCTCTTGACACAACATGTTTTAGAACCCAGTCTAATTTTTGCTGTGGTACCACTACTTTTACATCTGTATTCAGGAAATGTTTCACCTTGTAAACCCTGGGAGGAAAAAAAAAGCACTGCATTTCTTTAATACAAATTCTAAACTGTGGAAAATGTAAGTCATGGAACAAAGTTTCCTCATGCTACTTAATGATTATTGTCTTTTAGAGGTGAAAGCAAGCTAAAAAAGATTCAGTGACAACATTTCATTAAGTTAAGCACTCTGTTATGTGCCACACCCCTCCTGTGCATACAAAATACTTAGAATTTGGGGTTAATATGTACAATAATTGTTTAGCACTCTACTTAAGATCATGTCCAGAAAAAGAGACTAAGGCACTGCCTTGGCTTCCGATGGGTAACTTTTAACTGGGGACTTTACAATCCATTATTTGCTGCCTAATTTCCATACATAATTCCTGTTTAAGTAAGCACTGAAGATCAGGAGCTACAAGTGCTGGAATGCTAAGCAGGCAGAAAGCAAGAGCTAGCCTCCAGGGGACAGCCTTTTTGGAGCTTGGCTGCCTTACCCAGAGTGACAAAAAGCTTTCCGCTCATGGTTCATAAGCCGTTTCTGAAAGTCAGCATCTGTGCGGTTACTCCCAACAAAGAATCACAATCTCTCTTTTTTTTTTTTTTTTTTAAATAGGATATTTATTTACTTATTTTCTGTTTTTCTACTACACTGGCTGAAACACTGAAGAGGTTTTCCACCTCCCAACTCAAACTACAGCACTCAGGACACGACCCCTGGAAAGTGATTGCCACCCTCCTGTTAAAGCTATCTTGTTTCTCACAAAAGGCTACCAGGTTCATGGGGCCAGAAGGAGAAACCGAACACAACTCTGACCCAGGTCTAAACCACAGGGCTCTTTTCAGGCCCAAAGTAAAAGTCTTAAAAGGAAGTCTGTCAGCTCATACCATAACTAGCAAATATTATTACTATTCATATTGCAGTCATGTTCTGAGTGCAGGATTTGTAATTTTTTTAGGCAGTTTTAAGAGACAAATTGCATTTTCTAAATGGCTGATAGTTGCTCATACTCGGACAATTCTTATATACTAGGGAGAAAAGAGAGTATTTTATATGCTTTTATAACATTCAAAGTGTAAAAATGCTTTAAACTCATCTTTCAGATTATGTTCTCCGGAACAAATGGAGATTTCTGAATGCTTGCTCAAATTGTATAAAGCCTACCCAAAGGAAGGCAATTTTCATATGGTTTGTTCTTTCCTCTTAATGCTTCAGGGACAAAATTAACCAGTGTAGAATAATATCAGGAAACCACCCTCAACAACAATTGCATCTTAGGCATTAATGACTTTGGTTTTGCCTAGGGAAAGCAAGGAAATGCGTGCCAACCAGGCTAAAATATCTATGGAGAACAGCAAAGCCATAAGCCAAGACAAATCTATCAAAAATAAAGCTGAAAGAGAGAGGTAAGTATCAGGTCTCCCTTCTTGAGAAGGCAAGAATGCTGTCAAATGCTGACAGGTGAACTCATGGATTAATTCGGTTAAAACCATGCATTTATGTATGGAAACAATGTCTAATGTGATTGTGCTGAATATATTTTTCGATGACCATCTTAGGAAAAATGTTGCTTTTCTCGTATTTGTCTTTTTAATAAATGTAATGCCCTGATCAGGGAAATAAAAAGGTTCTTAACTTTATACTCATCAGCTGTGACTGACTGCTGTAGGTCTAATCACACTATTAAATTGAAACACATCTGTAAGAGTTCTAATGATGGCACTTAAAGTGCATTATACTTTTCTGCTGTTGCTTTTTAAATGAAATGAGGGCTATACTGAAAAGGGAGTCTGAGGTTTGGTTCTAGCTGGAGTTAGAATAACTGGAGGGGCAGCATCACTGAAAACACAGGAGGTGGTGCCAGCAGAAGGCTTTCTCCCTCCCCTACTGATAACACGGAGGAGAGGTGGAGCAGAAGGAAGGAGCGCTGAAGTGATGATAATCAGCAGAGAGGGTGATGGCAGACAGGAGTGAAGAAGCAGATGTACTCCACAACACACGTAGTTGCTTCTTCTGAACTGAACTGAACTGCAGCTCTCTCCCTTGTTATGTGCTGGCATTGGAGACCTGGCCAGCATCCAGGCTCAGCAAACCAAGGGCACTGATGCACTTGCGAAAGTGGGTTATTCACAGCACGTTTGGGGATGACAGCCTTAATTGACTTGAGAGACTAGAGAGACACTTGCCAGTACCAGCTACTGAGGCTTTTTGGAGGATTGATCTGCATTATAGCTGTTTTAAGTTTCTTCTATTACTCTGAAAGTTTCCAAATAAATAGATAAAAGCAGAGTCTACATGATGATGTCTCATAAGCCTTCAGGGTTTCCCCTTCACTTTGGGCTTGCCATCTGGCTCATTCTTTCCTCTTTTACATTCCCTCCTTGGCACTGGGCTGTTTTGGTCAAAAGGCTTGAACTTGTTCCCACTGGACTAAGTCCCTTGAGTGTTACAGACTCCTAGCTCATCAGGAAGACGAGTTGTCGGAGCCCTTGGTGACTGTATGCTTAGTTAATGCAAGACCTCCACTAATGACTCCGAGATAAATCTGTTCCCAGATTTAAAAGCAGTCTGAATACAGTTCTGGTTTTCAGGCTTTGCAATTAGTCTGATTCAGCTCTTTAAACTATTTTTGGTGTATTTCATGATTGAAATCTTAGGAAGAGACACTTTGCAGTTAGGTATTTTATGTAAATATTAATTGTATACTTACATTTTTGCTTAAATAACAGCTTTAAGAACCTTACAGCATTGGTAAGCTGCAACTTCACTTACGATCATCAGATGATTTTTCCATTACCACTGCTAAGAGATGTAGCACTTTTTATATACCAAAATAAACTGAGAGCAGAGTGCAGTAAGGGGTACACAAATGAATTAAACATTTTTTTAAGTTCTGCCCACCACTCTTGAATAAGGGTAAAAGCAAACTTCATTCATAACAGTCTTGGTCTTTTTTTTTCCAAGTCTTCAATCATACTGTCAATGTCCTTGGAAACCTTTAAGTGTAAAGGTGCATAGCCAGAGGAGTGTGCAATTTGCCATTAGTCCCACATGGTACAGATAATCAGAAACCAAAATATACCTTACAAGTTTGTGATTGGGTTTCTGTTGGGTTTCTTTTTTTCCAATGAGTCTTCATGGACGTTTGCATTTTTTTAGGCGAGTCAGAGAACTGAACAGCAGCAACACAAAAAAGTTCCTGGAAGAGAGAAAAAGGGTAACTATAACCTTGACAAAGTCACTGGGCACTATTTCTGGATATTCATTTTCATTTCTCTGTGTTGAGAATCCAGCTCTACTAAACAAGTGGATGTTTGTCCTTGCTTTGTAGTATACTTGTAGTGTAAAAGATCTAATGTCTATATAGAAGGAAGTTATTTTAAATTAACAAAATTACTATTCGTTGCTACTTTTATGTAAGATATATATGTAATATGCATAACATACATTTATTGTTATATTAATAGCTCTTCCTAAGATTGGGTGATATAATAGGCCTCCTGTGATGTTTTGTGCCATCCAAAGGGGGCAAGACAGTGTACATATGTATATGTTTCAAGTACGTTTTTATTTTGCTTGTTAAAAATGTGTAAGATTTCCCCCCATTATTTTCTCTTGCTTACAGCTGGCAATGAAGCAGTCAAAGGAAATGGATCAGTTGAAAAAAGTTCAGCTTGAGCACTTAGAAGTTTTGGAGAAGCAGAATGAGCAGGTATCTTATTTTAAAGGCTTAAAAGAAAAGCAAGCTAGTGAAAACAGTAACCAGAATCAGGCTGAGTAGAATGCTTCTGAATGTAAGTCATTACTGAACTTGGGAAAATGACCTTGTTCGTGGTCGCTCACCTACTTGGGGAATTAAAATGAAGAGGTGAAGTGACTTAAACAATGATATAGAACCAGATTTGTTTCAGATAAGCGTGTGAAAGGCTAGACTGCTTAGCCAGAGTCTGTCCTTTCAGCTGTTCAGCCATGTTGATACTCGTTAGCTAGATATGACAGTCATAAAAGGCCCAGCATATCCATTTTAATTACTCTCCCAAAGTACCTCAAGCAAATCTGTTTCCTTCATTTTGGAACTTACATTCCTAGTGCTGATTGGAAAATAGAGGTGAAACGTGCACAGAGCATCTCTGAACTCTAAAAGCCAGTTAGTTTGGACCGAATTCTAGAGATGTATAGTAGCATGGGGAGTTTTATCTGTACTAGTACACCCTTTCCTAATTAAAATACCTTATTATTTTCTGCTAGTTTATAAAGCTTTTTAAAAAAAAAAAAAATTGAAAAACTGCTTGGCAAGGAAAGGCAAATTCTAATCTTATTTCTGGTAGAAGCAACGCTATGTTCTGAGCAGTTCCCCTGCTGAAAGGTTGAGCCAGCAGAGCTGTAATAATTGCACGGACTTGCAGTATTGCACTTACAAAAACATAAACTGCAAGGGGCATATACCCAGCAGTGCAGTGAGATGAGAGAGAAGGGGTGCATTTAACACCCATTACTTTCAAGGGTTATGTACTTACTTCTTTGTTTATTAAATGTTCAGAACTTGAACTCTGGCAGACATTATAGTATGAATTAAAGCCATCTTGCAGAGCGGGAGGGAAGAGAAGAGTACATGCAAATCAAGTATTTCCACTGTCAGGAGAGAGTCCTACAGCCCCAAAAGCTGCAGCCTGGTTAACTTCTATGGGGTGACAGCATGTAGGATCACAGGCAGCTGCTACCACCGAACCCCAGCCACCCTGGCCCTGTCTTCTGATCACTCCACCTCCCTTCTGGACAACAACCAAAACTTCTAGTCTGTTCCCTCACAGGCTTCCCGTAGATGCTGTCTCTAACATCCAGCGTGAATGGATCTGTCAGTCAGTCTGCTCCTGAGCAATATCTGCACATAATCAAAAGGCAGGGGAGGCGCACGCCTGGGGGAGGCAGTTGGGCTACAGCAGATCTGTAGTGTCACTGTAGAGAGCACGACAGAGAACTCCCTGTAAACTGTGCTAGTGACAAAAAATGGTGAGCTTAATCCAGAGATAGGTGTAATCGGTGGTTTCTTTCCATTGGCTTCAGAAGGCTTTGGATCCATTTTTTAAAAACAGAAGGACAAGAGGGCATGATTATAGTTGTGCTTTTAACCACAACATGATAAACACATTATGTATAAAGGAGGGAGGTTGCTGGGAAATAAGTGTGAGTCATGAAAGGAGTCACCTCTTTCGGCAATTCGATGCTTCCCTCACCTGGGGTTACAGCTTCTGCTGCTGTGAGATGGTAACAGCCTTCATGAGCTTGCCCATACTCCCATTTCAGTGCAGAGATGAAGCCAGCTTAAATCATCATGATTAAATGGAGTAAGATCATTCACATGCTGGGTATCACTTTTGTGTGGGCATGTGGTGGCCTCTGCCACCAGGGTAGTCCTTAACAGCTTTTTAACTCACTCTAATTTGATCCATCAGAGCATATATTTTCATACCTGCTGTTTTGACCACTTCCTTTTAGCCCCCAAAGTGCACCAGTGCAAACCCCCAGCTGGGTCTGATTTCGTTGTTATACACATTGAGGTATGAAAGCTAGTTGGATCAAGATAAAGGTGGTATTTGTTTGATGAGAATTTCAAAGCGTGGGGGTTTTTTTCCTGATCAAACAAGAGAAGAAATTTTTCATACAAATATACAAGGTAGAAAAGTAGAATTATGGGTGGAAACAGCCTTCAATACAAACTGTTATGAATTTAAATTTGTTTTGGTTTATGTATGTTTTTCTTGCATTAATTTTTCAATCTCACTTCAGTTTTCATTCATTTAATTTGCTTCTTGTTGTATTACTCAATTTTGACATTATTATTTTTGTACAAACAGCTTTTGAAATCCTGTCATGCAGTGTCTCAAACACAAGGTAGGATGGATGTATAATAAGCAAACTATTATTTCAGTGTGCTTTCCTTCTAAATTAAATCATTATCATTGGAGCCCTCCTTGTAAATGCAACCATTGGGAAGTACCATTGACACAGCGAACACAATGTTAATCTTGTTTGCACACAGATATTTGAGCCTGACGCAGTATTAACAGTATTTTGTGCTTTAGCGTCCCAAATTCAGATGCATATGAGCAGTGATGTGCAGAGGAAATATTTAGAGATTAACTTGTATTGTACATTACCTGTTGTAATGAAAGATACGCTTAGAGTTCTAAACTGTGTCTTTGAGCAGTGTCTATTGACCTAAGAAAACTATTTTAGTGTTAACATACATATGATTAACTGCTAATGCTAATAGACAAAGAGTATCCACATATATCAATATGGTAATAAAATAAGTAATTCCACACTAAGAATAGCAAGATACAGAACAGATGGCTAGAAATAGCTTTTTAGTGTCTAAAGAGATGCTTCCAGCGCTTTAAAATTCACTTCAAAATCCAACACATTACAAGGTATGGCAATTATATTTACCATGTGGCTGTGCTGCTGTGGCTTCCTAAATAATCATTACTCACAAGAAATCTCTGTTAACCCTTGTCTTACCAAGGGAAATAGACTTGAACATCCAGTTGTACAGTATTGCCTGATCTTAATTATTTTCTTGAATTGATAACATACTTGTATCTTGCACCACGAAGTTTGACAGCACCTGCTTTAACAACACTTATTTCTGGACATACTATGAGGGGAAAAAAAGCATTCATTAGGCTAGGGGAAAAAAATATTCTTTTACCGTATCTGGTTTTCAGCCTGTCTTAGATCTCACTAGAGAGCAAGCATCTTGAAAGCAGAGTCCATTAGCTGCCACTCACTTCATGAATGCACTGTAGCTTCAACACCGCCTTCCAGAAGGCTCATCGTCAAGTATCGTGCTTGTGTGTTCACGTCAGAATGCACTGTCTGAACCAGCCTCAGACCAGCAAAACTGGGCATCCTGGTCCTATGCTAATGTGTTCTTTGAAACCAAGTTATCTCTAAAATAATTCTGTACACCATATATTGGCGTACAGGATATTCATAGGACACTATGTGCCGGTAGTTAAGTCACGAGCTTAAAACGTGAAACGTGTGAGTCACTAAGAAACAAACACAGGGTTTTGTTTTATCTGGAATTTCATTTCCCACACAGGCAGAATCCAGCCAACATTTCAGAAGAGGTTGTACATATTGATTTATTTATTATGTTTCCATATTTTCATGTTAAAATTATTTCCTCATTACTTTCAAGCTTTTAACTCATTTAAACGGAGAGCGTTGATTAATTTTTAATCATATTTATGACAGTTGCTTTGCTATTATCATAATTACTTTTTTCCCCAAGATGATGATGATGATTATGAAAGTACAGGGCTAGATTTTTCAAGAAGACACGTATATCACATCTGCACAAACCCACATTTACCTTGGAAAATGAATAGCTGTGCATCTCATTAGTTTAGATTGACATCTTCCCATTTTCACATATGCACATCCAGAATAGGTGATTCCTTACGTAGGAGCTTGTATAGCAAAGTTCCCCATCTAAGCAACGTTTACAACTTTTTGAGGAACATATTTCATGAAAATCAAGTCCAGTAACCATTCTTCCCTGCATGACGGAGACAGAGCAGTTACACCAAAGAAAACAGTAGCTTGGTTTGCCGCCTCCTAAACCTGTCCTAATCCTCGGGAGCTTGGTTGTGAAGATAGATGTGTTAGCTTGCCCTCTGGGTCAACTTACTCAGAGTCCTTTGGGATACAGATTTAAATAACTTCTCAGATCGCGAGCCCTCAGAGAAAATGAAGAGATGGTGACTCCCTGTTCCTTTTAAACTGCAGAGTTTCAAACCAAAGCACAACTTGTAATCTGTAACGGCCACAGGAGTAGGTGTGCGTGTGCACGCGTCTGAGAGAGGAGGGGAATTAAAAAAGCTCTCTCTAAGCAGAGGATTCCCAGGCCAGTTACCATTTATATGCAGCACTTTAACTCTGCTTGCAAAGCCTGAGGCATGCAGAGTTTATAGCAAGATCTAGCGTACATTCATCGCTGTATTCTGCGCAATGCATTTGGATACAGTTCCAGGTGGATTCAGTGTGTGGAATCCCATGGAGCGTATAGCAGTAGTCTAATCCTGAGGTGAAAAACACCACATCTGTAATCATAAGGATCTCCAGGCCAGATGGGAGATTTTTTTTAAAAAGTTACTATTTAAAAAATATTGCCTACTGCAAGGAAGGTGTTACACTGAATGGATTTTTTTGTCATTCATTGTCTTTATGAAAGAAATGAGTCCAGGTCATAGACAAACTCACTAAAGATTTCAGGAAGTAACACATCGCAGTACTCGCACAACAGCAGTGCAGCATACATTCCCAAAGACATTTCCTATCAGGAGAAACAGTCGAAGCGGCATCTGCCTAGTTTTCCTCCCCCAGATTGGAGCTTCGCATTCTACCATACTGGACTTCAGAAAGTCAACCCATGAGTCTTGAAATACGATCAAAAATACTTTCCAAGAATTTGTAGACCTAAGGATTACGTCTGATTTTGAAAACAGAATGACACTGGGGGGATAAACATAATGTTATTCCACATATCTTCAGTGTGTTTTGCCTGTATTTCACTCAGACACTATCATATAAAAAGTGCTTCATTGTGAAGAAAAGGTCTAATGCAATGCTTCATGCGGTTATTTTGGCTTGCAGGCAAAGGAGATGCAGCAGATGGTGAAGCTGGAAGCAGAGATGGATCGCAGGCCAGCAACAGTGGTCTAAAGCCTCAACAAGCAAATTGAAGTTGGAGAACACAGCATCCTTAAAATGAGAGCAAAATTCAAAATAATGTTGTTGAGGTTGAAAAGTGGGCTTTTTTGCCTTTTGGGGGGCGGGGCAGAGGGGGGGTGGTTTGGTTTTTTTTGTTTTTTAATATATAAAGTGTAGCTACAGACCGCCAAGTCTTAAGGTTTGCATTATTTCTTTTTTAACACTGGGCACTGAATTTTCTGTGTTGGATTTCCATGATAAGAATTTCCTTTGTTCAGAAAAACACTAATCAGAAGATGAAGACAGTTTTTAAACCCAGTCCTGTATTCCTTTCTGTATCTCAACAGGCAGCTTGCCTGCATCAGAATTACACAATCAGAGCCTTGAAACACAACAGGTATTTTTAACATCATCTCAAATGGCAACAAAACTGTAGTCAAGTCATGTTATTTACCGTTTGTATTCTCATGTGTGATATATTGCGTAGAAACCCCCTGCTGCCAGATCCTGACAAGCAACAACTCGTCAGATGTCATCGAGCCCCCCGAACTGGATCTTCTGCTAAGTCACCATAATAATCAGTATAGTGAGGAGTTGAGTTTGGGCAATTTTAAACTACATTGCAAAGTATTTTTCAGGCAGCAGACAGTAGGCAGTTGCAAGTTAACTGCATATATTCAAAAGTACAATATGTACGAAGTCATCGGCCAAATTCATCAACTGTAACAGTAACTTGACAGGATATTTCCACAGTCCAATGATGTCATTCACAAGTGCCATATCAACTCTATCATGTCTGAAAGAAGCTGATATCCTGTAAAAGTTACTGCAATGGTTAGCGTGAGGGAAATACAGTGTATTTGTGCCAAAACTGATCAGTGCTCTAAGGAATTACGTATTAGGCACTTTAAGAAAAGTTTACATCCTACATTGCTTGTATAGAAATTGCATTTTGATCCTGCTGCGGCAGATCCCTGATATTACAGTTCATTGTAACTTAAAGATTGTTTAAATGGCTTTTGGCAAAAAGTTTGTAACTGTGAAAATGTAAAAAGTATTTATACACTTCAGAATCATAACATTGTAGAAAATCACATACATGTTGCCACGTGATAAAATTAGTAAACAGAAATGCGAAGAGTATGTTTGCATGTGATACAAATGCTACTAAGACTGTAATGCCTCCTATATGACCACAGTCATTCTACTAGCTGGTAAATACTGAATAAATGTATGGCACAGAGTATTGTTTGATTAATTACAAAGACTTTTAGCATAACAAGGTCTCTATATATATGTGTGTATATCAATTACGTGGGCATTCTTGATACTTGTAGTAAAAGAAAAGTACATAACTAATTTAATTTTACACAAAAGTATTTATGCAGATTTTCAGAATTTCATATCAGGAATAACCTTTTTATGTCCATCAGATACAAAACCAATTTGCTAATGTGTTAATTTGCATGCTTCCAGCACTTGCTGTAGTTATATTGCAAAACAATGCATGTAAGCATTCCGCTTGGAATTTGTCCATGCTGCCAATTCAAAGATGACTGCATGGAAAACTGGTAGTTTAGAACAAATCAGATTCCTGATTTCAATGTACTAAGCACCAATTACTTTGTTGTATATGCTTGTACAAACAAATTCTACATATCCCTATAAACAAAATAAATGAAGAGAGATAATTATGTTACTGTCAGTCCTGAGATGAAACTTTCAACTTCTCTAATAAAAACCTTAAAAATTCAAAACCCTTTAGTTTGGACTGTAGTGACTTGCAGGGTGGTGGTGGTGGTATTATTACTTACAAATTTTTAGCAAGTTGTATTTCCTGTAAAAATGTGCATAGTGTAAATATATTTCTATCACAGCTTATTTATTCAAAGGAGTCTCATTTCTTTTAAGTGATAGAAGAATTGTGCAGCACTGGTCCTCGCAGCACCACAGAACTACTTGAGTACAGTGTAGCAGCACTACCTTGAGATGCAGCAACCCGAGTACAGTGTAGCAGCACTACCTTGAGAATGCAACTGAGACGGAGGTCAGTGAAGTCTTTAGGTGTTTAAGGCAGGATTTAAACAAACTTGTGATGCCTATTCAGAATTCCCATTCTAATGCCACTTAACGTACGGAGGCACCTCCAGCTCCTTATGATCTCTAATGTTATAAAGACAAGTCGTACGTGCCTGCACTACTGGGAGCAGCTCTCCCTGCTCTCTAAGCTTGGCTGGTCCTCTTCTCGAGTGCTGGAGGGAGAGAGCTGGGAGCAGCAGCACTCAGAGCATGCTGGACAGGAGCCGGCATCTCAGAAAAGGCATTTTTTTAATATATA